GAGCGGAGGACCCCCAAGAGCAGCGGCCGCCGAAGGCATCCAGGGGCGGCGGAGTCGGCAGCGAGGGCGGCATGGACAGCGCAGAGGAGGACGTCTCGAGGCAGCGGCGGCTGCAAGGGCGCGGCGGGCGGGAAGGCGGGGCTGGGGACGCGGCTGAGGAGGAGCGGCCGCTTGCTGCTGCTGCTGCTGCTTCTACAGGGGTTGCGGGGCCCGGCAAGGGGCGCGCCAAGCGGCTGCGGCTGCACACGGCGCCAGCGGCGGCGAGCGGGGGCGCAGCGGACGGGGATGACGACCTTGCGGATTTCTGAAGGGCTGCCTGTTTAACAATTGGTGCAGTTGTAGAGGGTGTGATAGTCGATGCTGGTGTGTTACATGAAATGTGGACGCTTTGCTGGTCTCGCGTTTGGTGACAGCGACCCACGCCTGCTAAGTGCTGCTGCGCACACAGCATCCATGTGCATGGTGGCCACCGGGGCGCATTTTAGCAGGCGGCCACATGCAACGCAACAGGTGCTGAATGTGCCTTTTGGAGGTGCGCAAACATGCGCTGGAATGTGGCCATGTCCAGCAGGCAATGTTTTGCATGTAGTCATGCTGCCGCCGGCAGCAGTTTGACCTGCCACCAAGCCAAGCATCAGAGTTGGACCTCAGCCGGCCACCAATGCATTGCGTCTCATTCATAACGTCGATAGGTATCCAAACAGCGTCCGCGCCTCTCGGTTGGGCTGCGCCTCTCTCCTTGGTGGACCAAGGACCATTTGAACGGGGATCGCGTCTACTGAGCCTGCAGCAGCAATGGTGGACCAAAGGTGCGCTTTTGGATGTTGTCGGCACTCGTCGTGGCCCGTTCGGCGCTCACAGCCTCATCTGAAGGATCCCGCCTCCCGCGGGCTGGCGCGGCAGGGGGAGCAGCGCTACGCCCACAAAACGCAGCATGAGAGATTATTGCAGGTGGGTTGGCGCTCAACCGGCCCACACCAGCGGTGACAGCAGCACCCAGCTGGCATTGCGCTTGCTGTTGACTGGGCCCGGAGCGATACGAGAGCTTGTGAACTGCGCTGCGCCGGATCTGCAATATTGCAAGCATTACAGCTGATGCTGAAGGTGGCCGTCTCGCTTTGCAGGCTGCTGGGGACGTGCGTCCGCATCTCCCCTTGGGTGCCGCTCGTGTGCAGCATCATGTGCACCGTGGGCCTGCCCGTCTGGTGCGCGGCACGTAGCGGTGGCTGGGCACAGCGGCAGCGGCGCACGCGGCGCTCTGGAAAGGGCGGCTGTTGAAAAGAAAAAATCAGCGGCAAAGGGAGACATGCGGCTCATCCCATCATGGCCAGCTTGCTTGCATGGGGCGGCGACTGCAGCGCAAGCAGCGGCACGACGTCTGTGTCCTGCATTGAAATAAGAAACAAAGACAATATGATAGCATGGACCTCATCAACATACTGGACCCTAAACTTGCGTCAATACCGCCGCCGCCGCCGCAGGGCGATCTACACACGCCGCGCGCTGGACTCGACGCGCGTCTTTGCCGACACGCTCTTCGGCGCCCGCACATTCTCGGTCGACCAGCTGGCCAGCAGCGTCAACTGGGTGACGGGGCTGGCAGTGATCGTCATCAGCTGCATCGTGGGGCTGTGCCTGCTGCTATCGCTGCTGCGGTCGTACCAGGAGACCGCGCGGCTGCCCACCACCAAGTGCAGTGAGTGGCGGAGGGGCATCATGTCGTGAAGTGCATGCAGCGCGGCCTCTTCGGGCTCTGATTTAGACGCGCCCTCGCGTCCACCTGCCGCCAGCATGATGGTACTTGCTGGTACACTCAGCGCCACACGCAAGTCCCGGGGGTTGAGGCCCTCTTTGCACGTGCGGCTGTGTCGGCCCCCCGCCCTCCCCAACCCAAAGGCTCTCCCGGCAAGTTGTCGTACGGCGCGTACGCCACCCTCATCAGCGCCATCACCTTTGGCGTCTGGATCATGGCCGTCGTCGTGGCGGTGCTGATCGCGGCGCAGCTGTGCTGGCTGCTGCTGGCCTTTATGTTTGAGACGGCCCTCCTGCAGGGCACCCAGTGCGTTGCTGGCCCAGGGCAGGAGGGGGAAGGCTGAGGGGCTCGGTGCTTCCCGCGACAAAGGGGCTCGCTGGTTTCCGCTGTAGGCGCCCTGCCAGGACCCAGGTCTCCTCAGCTGCCAATACCAGCTGCTTCCTGGCCTGCATGCCCAGGCCCGTCCCCGTTCGTGTGCTGCTCGACCGCGCCCATCCCTCCCTCACACCCGTCGCGCCCCAAATCAGGTCCCCCACCACCAGCGTGGCGCCCCAGGCACTGTACGATGCGGCCCGCACCCTCCTCAACGGGGTGGCGGCCAACCCCGCCATTGTCGCGGCCTCCAGCCCCATCTCTGCGTCCGCCGCCACCTTTGCCAAGGCAGCCAATGAGGTGAGGACCTCACCCTGAGCAGCTTGGGGTCTCCCAGCCCTGGCACACTGCCCCTTTCCATATCCATCCGCACTCCCTCCCTCATCAGTTGCAAATCAGATGCTTACAGGCCCGACTGACCGCACACACGCTTGCGGCCGTCGCTCCCGCTTCCCCGGCTGAAGGCGTCCATTGTGGTGTGCCCCGTCAACTGCCTCAACCTGGGCTCGTTCGCCGCCGTTTTTGGCGCGGCTCGGTCCTGTACCTGCGCCGCCGCGGCGCAATACCCAATGCTGACCTCACTCGCAACAGACACCTGGAAGGTGGGGGGATGTTACAGGGGGGCGGGGCGAATGAGCGCCTGGCAAGCAGCTTCACCGGCAGCCTGCCCCTCGGACCCAGCTCTGTAGCGTGCCCGTCCTGTGCGAGGCTGTCAACCCCGGTGGCGGGCGCCTGCTGCCCTCTCTGATTTCGCCTCACCAGAAATCTGAGCCTGATGCTTGGCATGCAAGGAACCCACGCCACCCGCCCCTCCTGAGCTGCGACGCGACGCCGCGCCCCCATGTACGAACCGCAGAACCTCGTCCACGCGCTGGCCGCGCTGGCGCTGATGGGCCTGGCTGACCTGTGGCTGCTCATGAACCTCAGCGCGCAGTTTGCTCACGCCAGGCGGGACGTGCGGGACCTCACGCCTGGCAGGTGCGGCGGGGTGGGGCCAAAGTGCACTTGCGCTGCCCCCTCGCGAAGCTCGCCGCGACGGAGAGCCATGGGCATCCCCCGGTTGGGTTCCGTTGCAAAGGGTCAGGCGTGGGTGTGAGGGTCGCGGCCGCATGGCTTCCGCACCGGCTTGCTCAAACCCCCAAACCCCCAAACGAGGTGGGTTTGGGGGTTTGCGAGGAGCTTGCCGCAACAGCGAGCCCGGCACGCGCCCTCTCGTGCCTGCGCGGCGCCCGGCCACTTTTTGTCTAAGAGTCATCACTGGTGCGCTGCCGGCAGGTATGCCACCGCCGACCCCCGCATCAGCGAGGACGCCGCCGCCGTGTACGTCACCACCAACCCCACCTACGGTATCCCCGGCTCGCCCCCCAAGAAGGGCGGCAGCGGCGGCCGCAAGGTGGGTGCGCGGGGGCAGAGCGCGCCGTCAGCCGCGGCCTGAGGCGCCCATGCAGGAGCTTGGCAGCGACTCGAGGTCCATGTGCTGCTCGCCCGCCCGTTCAGCTTGCGTCGCCGCCACGCCTCCAGCCCGGGTTTGAGGTGTCCCTTACCCCTGTCGCCCGCCGACCGCCGCGCGGCCGCCCCAGGACACCGGGGCCAGCGGCAGCGACACTCGCAAGGTCGCCTCCTCCTCTTCGGCGGGCGCGGCCTACGCCCTGCCCGACGCCCTGCTTGGCCCCGGCCCCGCCGCCCTGCCGCTGGGGCCGCCGCGCGACGACTACCTCCCGCACGTGGGTGCGGGCGCGCAGGAGCCGCAGTCCATGGACAGCCCGGACAGGGGTGCAGGCGCCGGCGGCGGCGCGGCCGGGGCGGGCGGGGAGGGCGCGAGCCCGCACAACACGACCGCGCAGCGCTACGCCGCGTACCGCCTGCGCGCCGCTCAGGGTGAGGGCGCGCGCGCTGGGCTCAATAGCTGGCGCGGGCTAGCCGGGGACCCTGGGGAGTGAGCGTTCGCGCGCCACGGCCGGCAGACGGTTCGCGTGACCCTCCATTGATGCGCCCCGCTCACGTGCTGTGCACGCTGCCGCCCCCCCCCCCCCCTCCCCGCGCCATCTACAGTGAATGGCAAGTCCCCCGGCCAAGACCGTGGCAAGTGGCAGCGCTGAGCGCCGGCCTGCTCCTCGGCCGTAGGCAGAGGCGCCGGCGGCCTGACTGTGTGTCCAAGCCCGGTTGTGGCGGGACCAATAGATGCAGAGAAAGACCAGAAGCCGCCGGGACCAAAGCAGTTAGGCAAACAGCGATTGGGCACCTGCCGGCAGCCAGGCCTGCACCGCATGGGCCAGGCGAGGCGCAGCACACGGGAATGCGCCGTATGTGCGAGTTTGCCAATTCAAGGAATGGCTTTGTAGGCAAATGGCGGTTCCACTCACAAACTTTGGATGCTCTGCAGCAGCGTGGCGCGCGAGGCGCGCTGCGGGGGCGTCTCTTGACCTGACAGTTTTTTGGTCTGGCGCCGGCATGGGGACCGCGACGGAGTGCTTTCACGCACACCGCCGCGGCTGTGGTGGCGTCGTTCGATGAGGAGTACCCGACTCTTGATCACCAACTGTGACCATGCTTTAGTTGCCAACCGCCATGATATGCCGTCCAATCTTTCCGTGAGACAAACGGCCGCCACGCGTCCCCCCTCGGGCGTGCGTGCCAATTGTGCGCGACGCTCACCTGCACGCATGGGGCCTGTGCTGGATCAACTGCCACGGTCTCTCGGGGTGCGCCTCTGATGCGTGACGGCCTGGGATCTAGGGGTGATATTTTCCCTTTTCTAGAAGGCTGCCTCTGTAATACTCAACGATTTTGAGATGGCAACGGAAAGCAGCACAGGAGTTGACCAGGCTGCAGGGCGGCCCAGTTCGGTGACGGCCGCCATGTCCAGCGTTTCTACCCGCACAACCGCCCGAGAGGTGGCCGCCTTCCCATCACATTGCATGGCAGTAAAATCGGCACGTGCACATGGCCAGGGTCGTGTATCGCACGGTGCAGGTCAGCATTGCTCGACGCATGTGGGCGCCACACCCCCACCTGCAGGACCTCCTGCGCCAATGCACACACGTGCGTGGGGTCCAGATTACCGTATGTGGTATTCATGTGATCATAAGCTGCAATTCCACTGCAGAACTGTACGATCTGGGACCTGCCGAGACTTCGCAGAACTTGGTTGGAAGCTGGTGATCTGATTCTGAGGTTGAACCGACGCCCTGTGCAGGTTGTGATCAGTTCCAACCGTCGCTGATCCTATTTGTGTGGCACTTTCTGAGGACTACAGACGCCATGAGGACGTCGATCGTGATTGCCGCGGTGGTGCTGGCCATCTGCGCGTCCACCGTCCTTGTTGAGGCTAAGGACAAGAAGAAGGCCGAGGTCACGCACAAGGTGCGCAAAGATCAGCAAGCATGCGCCATAGCTCTGCAGCTTGAGGGGGCGGTGGGGACAGCACACTGCTCCACAGAGTGCTGAGCTTGCAACACTAGCAGTCGCGCCTCCACTGCACCCCCATTCTGTAGGTCTTTTTCGACATTGAGATTGATGGGAAACCTGCTGGTGCGAACCAGCCGCCTGTTGAGGCGCGTGATGACAGCTTGTGCCGTCGATCCAACTCACCTGGGGCAGCAGCGGTGCGGCGGTGATTGCCCTGTGTTCGCCGGCTCTGTGCTGCATGACTGGCGGCAGAGCTTCTCATACCACTCCCCCTCTTCTTTCCTCTCTCACCCAGGCCGGATCGTGATGGGCCTCTTCGGCGACATCGTTCCCAAGACGGTGCGCGACGGCAGCGCACCCTGCGTGGCGGTTGAGCGAGCTGTCGCTGGTGCCTCGGCAGCCCGCGTTCTATTCTGGCGGGGATACGGCGACCCTACAGCGCTTCAGGTTTTGCTTACGAAGCTGCGGCTCGCTTGCATGCCTATATGCAACTCTCGCCGACGGTCATGCTGCCATTCCTCCTGGCCCCGCCGTGCCGGCGTCACCCGGCTGAGCGCAGGTGGAGAACTTCCGCGCGCTGTGCACCGGCGAGAAGGGCACGGGCAAGAGCGGCAAGCCCCTGCACTTCAAGGGCTCCGTGTTCCACCGCATCATCCCCCAGTTCAGTGAGTCTTGAACCCCCCCCCGACGGTCTGCGCCAGGCCCATGCCGGGCCCGCCTGGCCGCCAACCCCACCTGGCAACCCCAGGCCGCCAGCGGCCAGGATGGCTCGCGGCGGCGCAGCACAGGATCGAAGAGGGACGGCGGCGGGCGGGCTGGTGCGCCGCTGCAAACCCTCAAATGCAATGGTTCGGGGCAGCAGGCCCTCTCATTGCACAGGGCCGCCCTGCGGGCGCAGTTGCACTCCAAAGCCTGAGTGCTCACTAAGCCTCCTGGCTGGAACCAATCGCCCCCCCCCCCCACCAGTGATCCAGGGCGGCGACTTCACCCGCGGCGACGGCACCGGCGGCGAGTCCATCTACGGCGAGAAGTTTGCGGGTGGGCGGCGCGGCGCCAACCAGCAAGGAGCAGAGGGGGCCTGGCAGGGGAGGACGGAGGCAGAGGGCCCCGGCACAAAGACATGGGCGTGGCTGCTTGCTTGGTGGGAGGACATGCATGGGCACAGCCACCAGGCTCCTGAGGCGGCAGCATTGAGTGTGACAGGGTGTTCCTCTTGGCACGCTTGATCACCCCTGCGCCGTGGACACTTTTCCGCCCCTTTTTCTGCCCCGGCGCAGACGAGAACTTCAAGCTCAAGCACAAGGCGCCCGGGTACCTCTCGATGGCCAACGCCGGCCCCAACACCAACGGTGGGCGCGCCGCGCCGCCCGCGCCCGCGCCTGGGCGGCCTTCGGCCTGGCGCAGCAGGGCGCTGGGCGCTCCGAGGCCAGGCTCTCGGCGCTGCGCCTCTTGAGTGCATTCACGCCAGCGACCGAAGCTCGAGTGGACCTTGCAGCCCAGGCCCGCGCGACCAACACCCCTGCCAACCCGCACACCTTTGGCCCCCCCCTCCCCCGCCCCCAGGCTCTCAGTTCTTCATCACCACTGTCAAGACTGCCTGGCTGGACGGCCGCCACGTCGTGTTTGGCAAGGTCATCGAGGGCATGGACGTCGTGCTCAAGGTGCGCACACGCACGAATGTCTGCGCATGCTTGGTCGTGTCAATGCACGTGATGTGTGTTTGGGTCGTCAAGGGTCAGTTGAGGTGTGTCGGAGGTGCCCTGTTGCATCTAGGGCCGAGGAAGGCGACCGTCTGTGAGCGTGGGCGACTTGACTCGTGCTCAGGCAAGCGGCCTCGCTCCGCCGCAAACGTCCTGCAGGTGGAGGCGATCGGCAGCGGCAGCGGCACGCCTTCCAAGAAGGTCACCATCGCCGACAGCGGCGAGATCAAGGAGGCGTCGTGATCTCATGTTTGACCCGGGGCTAGGCAGAGTTGACCGGCGCGGCTGCTGCGCGCACCTGGGAGTGCCCGCGGCGGCTGTGTGCTCTCAAGCGGGCAGCCGTGATCACCGCGCCGCCCGCGCTCGCGGCCTGCGGTCTGCACTTGACCAAGCACAGGCAGGGGCCGCTTCTGCGCCCCTTGTGCATGGGCCACCTGTCGTTATTGTGTAACCAAACTTTTACTGCGCTATCGTCGAGGGTCCCATGATGCAAGGTGCTTGGCAGAGCAGAAGGCTCATAATGATTGGTCCTCGCTCGCGGCGTGCGAGGGTTACCCAGTGGGCCCCAGATGGTGCTGCTGAATTTGCACAAGATGCGGCATCAATTGTGGGGCTTGAATGTCTTGTCCTCGTGGCGACCTCTTCAGCCAAGATCTGGCGTCGCGCGCTCAAGACGCTGCATGATCATTGGCGCAACCGAACGCGCATCTGGCAGGCAGCTGACTGGTCACTGCCTGAACCAATGTTTCTTTTGCCGCATGCATGTCTTGGTTTTTGACCAACTTTTATGCAATCATCCAGCTTTGCGCGTTTGACCCGGACCCGCGAGGCAACTTGACCCAGCTCGCGCTCCGCGGTCCGTTTACGATGGGCTGCAAGGTATCACGCCATGTAAATCCCATAGACGCGGCGCTGTTTCAGGCCCTGCATGCGGCCAAGGCCAGGCGCGGCAAGAAAGATTTCACGTTCAATGAGCTGCTGCTAAAGTTTTCCAGCATGGCAGCGGGCTTTTTGAAGGCGCGGGAGTACTTTGATAACATGGACCTCAACGGGGACAAGCTGATCGACATTGACGAGTTCACCACCATGGTGCGTGCGCGCGCGCACATGTGCGCCCCGCATGTGCATGGCGCCTCGCATGCTACCCGCCGCATGGTCGTCCTCCGGCCCTAATCTGCAGGTGCAAGCCTAGGCAGCAGCATGCGCATCGCATGCTCGCTCAGCGGCTCGCCGAGCACGCACGGGGCTCATGTGCGGGACGGACCAGGCCAAGCATTATTGCACAATCTTGGGTTGCTGCAGGCGCCGCGTCTCGGGCTGGACATGGCCCTGGAGGACCTCAAAAACGTGTTTGCCGCCGCAGACATCGACAACAGCACCAAGGCGCGCTCATGGCGCACGTAATGTGTGCCCCGCAGCTGCATGCATGCGCTCTGATCCCCGCCGATCACCGCAGAGCCGAGTGTGAAGCAGCGGCGGAGAACCCACCGTGTCGCCCGACGCCCTCCCCCCTCCCACATGCAGATTGACGTGTACGAATTCATGCTTGTGTTCGTGGTGATCCAGCTGCTAAGCCCCGAGCGCGCGCAGCACCTGCCCCCCGAAATCCACAAGACGCTGGAAATTGTCGAGGTGCGCCGCGCGCCTGAGCACGACGCGCCCGCCCCGCCCCCTGCAACACCGGGTCCCGCGCGCAGCCACGTGCGCCACGACGCTGCAGCCAGCTTGCCATGCGCATGCATGGAGCAGCCAGCGGAGCTCAGCAAGAGGACTGCAGCGGAGGCACCGCAGCGGGGCCAGCGAGTGCCCGTGCACACCATTGCAGAGGCGGCAGCCCTGGGCACAGCCGCCCTGTTCACCAGCCTGCGGCTCCCTATCCTGCCTGCGCCCCCGCCACTGCGACCGGCAACCTGTGATGCCCCGCCTCTCCCCTCCCGGCCAGGACGCCTTCTGCTGCTTCGACGCGTCCGAGGACGGCTACCTCGAGCCACAGGAGGTGGCCGAGGTGCTCTGCACGTCAAACACCCCCGGCCGCGCGACACGCGCGCTGTCCGACAAGCTCTTCGCCCAGCTCGACTTTGACGGCTCCGGCGGCATCAGCTTCAAGGAGTTCCTGATCGGGCTGGAGAAGATGGTGATGGAGGAGTACGCTGATGACGAGGACGGCGAGGCGGGCGGGGGCGGCGCCGGCGGGCCGGATGCTGATGAGGAGGAGGCGAGACTGGTGGAGGCTGCCAAGCGGCTTGCGGCACAGCAGCGGGCGCCGGGCGCGGGGGCCGGCGGCGGCGGTGGCGGGCAGAGGCGGCGCGGGCAGGCGGAGGAGGCGCGGCCCAGCGGCGACGGGCCGCGGAGGGGCAGCGGCAGCAGCGGCGGCAGCGGCGGCCGTGCGCACAGCAGCGAGGGCCGTGGACACAGCAGCGAGGGCCGCACGCGCCACGATGCTGAGGGGCGGCACTGAGAGGACTGCCTACGGCAGCCACAAACAGCCGGCCAATGGGTCCCACAGCTGCAGCCACAGCTGATGGACTGACAGCTGCAGTGGAGTCGGGCAACAGCCCGGCAGATGCGACGATTTGGCGCACGCTTCGGCCCGCGACTGCTGTTCATGCCCCCCCCCCCAACCACGGCTCAGCGGTTGCATGCGTGGATAGGGGGCGGCAATCGTGACACTGGCGCTCAAGCCGTGATTGGGTGGCTTCTTTAGTCCTTGCGACACTGGGCGCGCTCATTGACAGCGTGCACCCCACAGCACTCGATTTTTCGTGCGCCGAGGCAGCCGCGGTGTTCTCCGTGTGGGGTCGGGGGGTTACCTGCGCCACCGATGGCTATTGGGCAGGCGCAGGCGCCGACAAAACTGCTGTCCCGTTGTTCGTTTGCATTTTTGTGTGATGTGAAACAGAAGGTCATGCTTTGCACGCCAGTCTTGGGTCTGGGGGGGGGTCAAGCCTTGCGTGCTTCTGCACCTTGCAAGCAGCTGGCAGCTACGTTATCACCTGCAACTGCCTGCCTCGAGCCTGCCTGCTCGCCCCTCTCAAGACAGCTACGGTGCACCTGACCGACCAAAAGACACAGTCGCAGCGCAGGCGGTAACACGGCTTTTTTGGGTCGTGAAATGCACGGAATCCACACTCCTCTACAACTGCTGGCTCTCCCCTAAAGCTTGGAAAACCCGCAAGAGCAAACGTGAACGCGCCTCCGCGGGGGGTCCATACATTGCGGCCGCCGCCGCCGCCGCCAATCGCGGCGCAGCCACGGGCGCGTGGCCGCCGCAAGAGGCTTGCGCACAGCCGGGCGCGCGGCCTGCTCACGCCGGCGCGCGCCCGGCGCTGCGCCGCTCGGGTCCGTTTCGACTCGCGCCGGCCGCCGTGCACGGATGAAGCGCCCCCGGCACCGCCCCTGGCCCTGAGGGGCCGGCGGCACGCCGGGAGCGTCAGGGGGGGAGGTGGCGGCCCCGCCGCGTCTTTCGGGGCCGCCACGCCCGCCGCGCGGCCGGTCCAAACCAGCACAGGGCCGGATCAGATGAGGTCCTGCGTATCGGTGTGGTGGTTGACAATACAATGCATCAGATGAGGCGAGACGGCCGGGGCGCAGAGTTCAGTTGTGGGAGCCGCTGCAGTCAAAACAAGTGTTTCAGGATCAGGTGCCAACACAAGCAAGGGCAACACGAGCAGGAGAACTGCAGACAACGCGCTATGCGGGACGGGCGGGCCGCTCACCGCCACGTTGGAGGGCAGCTCCCTGTCAGGATGAGCATGAAGAGAGATGGAACAGCAGGGTGGGGGTGAGTGGTGGTGGTGGTGGTCGGCCAGAACGCAAGCGTCACGCGTCACTGGTCACTCGCGTCCCAAAACATCCGCCCGGGCTCCGCCTGCGGCTACGGCCACGCCCCCCGCCGCCCCTGCGCGTCCCCGGTGCTGCGCCAGCCGGCGCCACCCACTCGATGACGGTGTTGTAGAAGCGCTGGATGTCCTGTGGGGCGGGAGAGGTGGGCACAGCAGCGGGGCGTGTCAGTATAATGCAGACCCAGGCTACAGAGGGCCGCATGTCATGTCAAGGTGACAATCAACACGTCAACCTAGAGACCTCTTGCGCACGTGGCGCCAATCTCATGCACACGAGGTCTCAACAAACACTGCAGCGACCCGTGGCCAGGGGTAGCGCCCTTGCCGGCGCAACCGGTCAGCGGCTCTGCGTCAACCCTATCCTGTAGGTCAGGCCTGTCCGTGCGTGCCCCAACCCCCACCCTCCCAGCAGCCCCGCACCTGCAGCATGCGCTCGTCGTCTCGAGTGACAAAGTTGATGGCCACGCCCTTGCGGCCGAAGCGCCCGCTGCGGCCGATGCGGTGCAGGTAGTTCTCGGGCTGGGTGGGCAGGTCGTAGTTGATGACCAGCGACACCTAGGAGGAGGGTTTGAGAGGGGTGGGGAGTGGGGGAGGGGGAGAGGCTCCATATGAGAGTAACGAGACGACAGGCAGCAGGGAAGCGTTGAAGGGTGCGAGAAGAGCTGTATAGCGGAGCAGCCGCACCAGGCCGCTGTACCGCATCACCACCGCAAGTAGCCCCCGCTGCCGGCCGTTGCGGCCGGTGACATGGCTCCCAAGGCCGCCGCCAACCGCAGGCCGCCCACGCCCACCCCAAGCCGCCGCGTCGCCGTCCGCGCCCCACCTGCTGCACGTCGATGCCGCGCGCCAGCAGGTCCGTGGTGATCAGCACGCGGGACGAGCCCGACCTGAACTCGCGCATGATGACGTCGCGCGTGTTCTGGTCCATGTCGCCGTGCGTGGCCGACACGGTGTGGTCGCGCTCCCGCATCTTGTCCGTCAGCCAGTCCACCTGCGCGGGGGCCGGGGCGGCCGCGGGGGGCGACGCTGATGAGACTCCGCCGCACACACCGCACCCTGCCTCGACTCGTACAACCCCTCGATGCTTGTGCCTGACGCGGCATACCGCGCGTTGGCGACCCCGCGACCGCCCGGCCGCCCTCCAGACGCGACACGCAGCCACCGCCCCGCGGTGCGTGGCGCGGCCGCGCACGAACCCCCCACCCCGTCCCCGCGCCCACCTTGCGGCGCGTGTTGGCGAAGATGACCGACTGCGTGATGGCCAGGGTCTCGTAGAGGTCGCAGAGCGTGTCCAGCTTCCAGTCCTCCTTCTCCACGTTGACGTAGAACTGCTTGATGCCCTCAAGCGTCAGCTCGTCGCGCTTCACGAGAATGCGCACCTGAGGGAGGATGGGATGGGATGGGATGGGATGGTGTGTGTGTGTGTGTGTGTGTGTGTTTTCGAGCGCAAGCGCGCGTGTGCGATGTTGTATAATGATGGACGCCCACTCCCACTGGTGCTGGTGATCGTGCTTCTTTGTGGGCGCCCAGGCAGGCAAGTGATCCTGGCTAAGCAGCCCTGTGCCAAGCTACTGCCGTCCTGCCGACACCATGCTCCAGCTGCCTGCTTGCAACCGGCATCCCCCACAACAGCCGCCGGGCCTCCCACACAGCGCGCGGCTGCGCTTGCTCCACAGCCGCGCCGCCCCTGCCCGCCAGCATCCTGCGCGGGCCCGCCATCGCTCTGCTGCGCACCGGCTTGTTCATGAACTTGCGGGTGATCTCGAGAGCCTCCGGGGGCAGGGTGGCGGAGAACACGCCCACCTGTGTGGGGTAGCGGCGCCAGGGGCAATGCCATGTGCGACGGTGGGAGGGGCTGAGCATGAAGCAAGCAGCGACACGGCACAGAGGGCCCGGACAGGGATTAGGCGACCACTACAGGCTGTCCTGCTCGCCGGCGGCTGCGCCAGCACTAAGAACAGATGCGTGGGCGTGCCCGCGACAACCGTCTCCCCACGCCGTTCGGCGCCGCACCCCCCAGGCGCGCCCACCTGCAGCTTGGGCGGCAGCAGCTGGAAGATGTCGTAGATCTGGTCCTTGAAGCCGCGCGAGAGCATCTCGTCGGCCTCGTCCAGCACAAACATCTTGATGCTGTCCGCGCGCAGGCAGCGGCGCCGCAGCATGTCGTACACACGGCCGGGGGTGCCCACCACGACGTGCACGCCCGCGGACAGGATGCGCGCGTCCTCGCGCACGCTGGTGCCGCCCACGCACGCGTGGCACTTGACCTGCGGGGGCAGGCGCCGGGGGCCAGGGCCGACAGGCCGCAGGTGTGGGCGCTGCGCCATGCTGCACGAGCTAACGCGATGCGTGCCGCCGGCAAGAAAGAGTTCCAAGCATGAGATAGCGCGTTTGCCACTGGCCTTTCGGCAAGTCTGCCATTATGTTGAGATTGCTGCCGATGCTGTCATGGGCGCCTGCCCGCCCCACAGCTGGGTCCTGCTGCTGATGATGTTGCATACAGCTTGCTGCTGCTGCTGCACTGTGTGCCGCGTCCTTGCTCAACCGTCGCGGCTGCCAGTGGCTCTGGGGCTGCCGGCCCGCCCGGAGTCCAGCACTCATCAAAACCCCAAACTGCCCCCACCGATGCTGCGCCCGAGAGCTGGTGCTGCTGCTGCTCTGGGTTGTGCGCTGCAATCGCCCGCCTGCGTGCTCGCCTTTCAAATTGACCAGGGTTTGACTCAGCCCACGGCTGTCGAGGCTGGTGCGCGTGCGCTGTGTTCAACACCCTCAGGTGCGCGCGTCCGGCCCAGCCGCCGCAGCCGCCGCACCCACAACATGCATGCGCACCGCCTGTCACCGCTTGTCATCACACCTGCAGGTAGTCGCCCAGCGCGCGCATGACCTTCTCGATCTGCTGCGCCAGCTCACGGGTCGGTGCCAGCACCAGGCCCTGGCACTCCAGGAGGTTGTAGTCCAGGTTGTTCAAGATGCCAGCACAGAACGTGGCAGTCTTGCCGGTGCCCGACTGCGCCTGCTGGATCACATCCAGGCCCTTGGTGAACGGCACAATCCCCTTCTGCTGAATAGCAGAGGGCTTCTCAAAACCTGTGAGGCGACAGTTGCAGTGCCTTAGGGTAAGCGGGGTCCCATAGGCGAGGATCCGGGCGTGGTGGGCGCTGCCCCCTATGCCGGCAAGCCAAGCCGTTCATGCAGCGCGTCGATCGAGTGGCGTCCATGCACGGCCAATTGATGCCCACCGTACGCGTAGATGCCGCGCAGCAGGTTCTCGTGGAGGCCCATCTGATCGAAGCTGTCGAAGCTCTCCTCCCACTCAGTGAAGAACGCCTGAGCCTCCGCGCCCTCAGCAGGCTTCAGGCTGCACCGGGCATAGGGCGAGTGACGGTCGCTCAGCGCGGGCGTAGGACGAGAACAGCGGAGGCTGCACCAGGGTCGCCGCCCCACCACCCGCCACCCGACCGGCACTCACTACTCCTTCATCTTGGTGTCGTAAGCCTTGTCATCATACTGAGTCTCGCTCGTCATGCTGGGCAGGAGCCTCGGGGCAGACAACGATTTTGGAGGGCGGAGAAGGCGCGAAGTGAACGTTTAAGGACGGGAGGTAGCTTTGCTAGCCCTCCACTATCCAAGAAAAAGGGTTGAGTGCACGCACGGGCGCGGCGAAGAGCGGCGGCGGCGCGCTGCCGACACTGCCGAGAAGCCTTCGGGCAGCCGGCGACTGCTCACCTGCTGCCATGCCCTGCACACGCCGGCCCATGGAGTGTGTAGCGTGCCTGTTGCGAAGCCTTTCCGCCAATTGAGGACCTACGGATGTTTGCCAGTGAAACTCAAAAGGAAGGCCCCCAGCTTTTTGAAATTCCAGCTCTCAGTCAACAAACGTGCTGAACCGAACCAGGCCCTGGTGTACTGAGAGAGCAAGGCTTGACAACGGGTACGATTTGCATGAGCTTTGAGATTTCATGCCAACTCTGTTGCCTGGCAACCTCTGTGCATGCCTGAACAGCAGCACCGGTGGATGTGGCCAGTGGTTGAGGGCCGGGTGCGCCTGCCTGCATGTGGGCATGCGCCATGCACCTGGCTGGGGTCTACTTGACACAGGGTGTTGTTGTCCGGCTGCTGAGCATCTGTTTATTCCTGCTGTGCTGAGAGTTGATGGATCTGCTGTGGGCTGGTTGCTTTGCCTGTTGTGGGGGTACTGCATGCATTATTCAGCACTCGCACGCCACCTGCCAGCCAATGTTGCTCATCGCTTCCCAGGGTGCGGGTTGTGTGGCAGGGGTGAGGGCGGCGAGGGGGCTGCTTGGGGAAGTCTAGCGGAATTTTGGATGCTGGTGCGAGAACGTGGTGCCATGGTTCCCTATGAGGTGGCACGCAATTACGCAGTGGTATTGAAAGCCCTGACTGTGGAATTACTGAACAGCACACAAGGTGTGGAATGTGCAGAGTATCAAGCGCACGCAACGTCGCAGACCGCGCATATGTGTTTGGGGCCACTCCTACCTCCCAACGCAAATCAGACTGCCTTGGGCCGCTTGGAGGACCCATCGCTGCCCGTCGCGGTGCCTCCGTTGCTGCGTTTGCCACCTGTGGCGCCACACTTTGGAACGCCACGGCTGCTGCTGTCGGGCAGGTGGTAGATCACGACTCGTGCTCCCACACCTGCCGCAAACACCTCCAGTGCTGGTTCATACTCACGCCAGTCGCCGCCCGCAGACCCGCAGCCGACAAGGTGCGGGAACGCGAACGACTCGGCATTATCCAGCCGCGCCAGCGCATCCAGGCCCTGGTGGGATGCAAACCATCGGTGCAGGTCGGGGTTCGAGAGGATTGGCTCGTGATCCCTGGCTGAAGGTCTGAGCGCTGCGCAATCAGCAGGTCTGTAAGTGCTGCAGCGGGCGCTCTAGTCAGACACAGGACTGCATTCGTGGGGATGCTCCCATGGCCACGTCGGCGCACGCACCTCCCGGAAGTATGCCATGCGCTTTGCAGCGGTGTCCATGCCTGCGGCGCGCGGGGCCCGGGTGGTGCTGAGCGCGGCCGAGCAACACCTGGAGTGAACACACCTCGGCGCCCAGCCAGGCGCTGCTTCCAGCCCTTTGAGCCCGGCCCCGAGCAACGCACCCTTTTGCTTGGGCGTGCCAGGCCAATACTGCCCGAACAGAGCGACCACCAGCCGGCGGTTGCGGCCGTCTCCGCAGATTGTGATCGACCCAGGCCGGTCCTTGATGCCGCTGCCCCGCGTTCGCCGAGCATACACATTGGCCCAGGGAAACCTGCGCTTCCATTGAGGGTGCGCAGGACATCCCCCGTGAGCGCATGCAGGCGCAAGGCACGCAAGTGTCGCCCTGCCCTCGTTCCGCAGACGCACCTGCTAAACAGTACCTGGGCCAGTCCTCGCGCGCCCTCGCTCACACAATTTGTTTGGTGCACTATGTATTGCTCGTTCGCCTCCAGCAAGTCGCCCTCCTTGTGCTCAAGCGGCATGGGGTGGCCGGGGCAAGCAGCCCGGATGCAAGCTCGACAGCACGCGCGCGGCGCGCAGCTCTGCAACGGAACGGTAAGCTGCCGGGTACGCCCCGGTTGAGCTGCAGCACGCCAGCATACATCGCAAGGAGGTTTCTCAGCAGGCCGATCTATACACATTGAAGGGCTTCCTTCCAGTTGAACTGGGATGTGGGTCACCGGTTGACACTACTAGTGCTTGGCGATCTGGCTGCTGCAGACAGTGCAAATCCACATCTATTACTGGGGAAGTCTATGTCATACTATCGGAGCGACCTGCCGTAACCTGCCCCGCTCTCGGTACAGTAGCCTTGTCCTCCGGGAAGCAAGAAGACCTTTACGCCAGCGTACATTTATTTAGTCACGTGAAATAGATTACGCGACTGGCCAGCCGCCGGGTTAGACCCGTTGAGCACCTCCTTGTGCAGCGCCGCCGCCTGCAGCAGCAGCCGCCATGCCGAAGAGCAAGCGCAACAAAGTTGGTGAGCGCTCAAGCATCACGCATGGTCCAGCTGCCTTGCGCTTGCAACTTGCCTGTTTTGCACATGCGTGTGGCTACATGAGCGATCGCCGTCACTGACGCGCCGCCTAACACAGCGCCTGCAATTCTGGGCTCGCACCTGCGCAGTCGCCCTATCAAAAACAAAGAAGAAGGACAGGGAGTGGAAGGAGGGTCTAGTGACGCAAGTTCGCAACGCAGTGGACAGGTAAGAGAAATCGAGGAGAACGGGAACGTGTACGCGGCATGTTGGCTCAGGACGCCCACCAAACGCAAGCAGGCGCGAGCCTCCACGCCGCGCCAACCTTGGCCCCGGCCGGCAGCGCCCCCAATGCGCAGCCTCCGCTCGCGTCCCCGCAGCTACCCGAATGTGTACGTGTTCAAGTTCCACAACATGCGCAATGAGAAGTTCAAGGAGTTGCGGGACGAGCTTAAGGACAGCAGCAGGTGCGCTTTGGGGGGGCTGGGGAGGGGCAGCTGGCAACGCCTTGGTGGCCGGCGGCCGGCTGCTCGCCGCTGCGGCAGCCCGCGTGCCAGGGCAACTGCGGAGCTTCGGGTCGGTGGCCGGCGGGCGCGCCGCTGCCGCACCAGCGCATGAAAGCATGGGCGGCGGCGGCCAGGCGAGGCGCACTCGCTGCATTGCAGCCGCGGCGCGACGCCGCCTCGCGCCCCGCCCTCCCTCGTTTCCCCTGGCGCTCGGCACGCCCGCACGCAAACCCGCGCGGCCGCGCCTGACAGCCCCCCGCTCCCCTCGCGCCCCCGCTGCAGGTTCCTGATGGGCAGCAATAAGATGCTGCAGGTGGCGCTGGGCAAGACGGAGGCCGACGAGTACCGCGCAAACCTGCACCTGCTGTCGGCGCGCCTCAAGGGCCACGTGGGCCTGCTCTTCACAAAGCTGCCGCGGGACGAGGTGCGGGGGGCAGCGGGCCCGCCGCCGGCGCGGGGCTCGGGGCGCGCACGAGGGCGCAGCTGGCGGGACGAGGCGCCCGGGAAAGGCCGGTGGGCCGGCGCGGATGTGACCGCCGTGGCCGGTCGCTTGGTGGAGGGCGCACGGACCCGGCAGAGCCGCAAGCGGGGCGAGGGTTTGGCCGCCACACTTCCCCCCTCGCCGCCATGCGCGCGGGCCACAGGTTGTCCGCGTCATGGGCCAATTCGAGCACGAGGACTACGCGCGGCCCGGCAGCTTGGCCATCGCGGACTTTTCGCTTTCCGCGGGGCCCCTCAGCGGCCCGCGGGGGCCCATGGTGCACACCATGGAGCCGCAGCTGCGGAAGCACGGGCTGCCGACGCGGCTCAACAAGGGGGTGGTCGAGCTGCTGGCGGACCACACGGTGGGGGGCAGGCGCGGCGCGGCTCAGACGCAGGGCAGGGCCGCGGTGGCAGCTCAGGAGCTGGGGGACGGGCCGGCCTCGTTCGCGTCTGGGGAAGCTCCGCCGCGCGGGGCCGGGCCCCTGCCGGCCGGCGCTATGGGGCACCAACGCGCCGTCTTGGTGTACTTGAAGTCTGATGCCTCAAGTCTCATGCTGCGACCTCACGCCGGCAACTCCTTGACGTTGCCCGCAGGTCTGCCGCGCGGGCAAGCCGCTGGACCCCAACCAGGCGGCGCTGCTCCGCGCGTTTGAGATCAAGATGGCCACCTTCAGGTTCACGCTGCTGGCCGCCTGGAGCGAGGACGGGGACGCGTACGAGTCGCTGGCCGAGGACGAGGAGGAGGACGAGGAGGAGGGGGAGGGGGACGAGGACGGCGGCGGCGGGTTTGAAGGGTTTGAGGGCGTCGAGATGGTCGGCGTGGGCGGCGCGAGCGAATGACGAACGGCGCCGGGTTGGGCGCAGTAATGTTGAGTGCGTTGGGCGTGGCAGCGTGATGTCTGGGGGGCGATGCAGCGAGAGGGTGTCCAGGGGACGGTTCTGGGAGCGAAGTCTCACATGCCACCGGCTGGCAGCCTCAGTCAACACATGGTCAACACCAGGCCACATGGCACGCCAGCACAAACGAGTCGGTTCGTCGGTTCGTGTCGCCGAAAGCACTCGAGCCGTCTCTGGGTTCCAGTGTGCTTCTGGTGAACAGGTGTACAGCATGCTGCTGGCACTGGTTTGCACTGCGTGACTCCGCGGGCGGCGGCTGCAGATCCCGACCTCTACGCCAAACTGAGCTGAATCTACAAAGCCTTGCCGCTCAACACCATCCTTAGTTGGGTTTTGTAAATGGTTCAACAACGTCTACGCGTCCCTCGAGGATGGGGAAGCAGGGCCACAGCCCTGGCATCTCGGTGGGCCAGCTAGATCGCAACCTGGTGCCCCGCGTAGAGCAGTATGCCCTCAACAGAGATGTTTCGGACGTGGACGCGGTGGTCGACCACCTCCGGCGCAGCTACAAGGAGTACCAGCGCCGGCAGGTCGGGGCCCTCCGCCAAATGGTGGCAAAGGCTATCCAGATAGTGCAACGAAAGGGCACATCCAAGCCGGAGCTCCAGCTGCAAGTGCGCGGGCCAGAAGGGAGGATGGCGAAGGGCAATGACGGCTCGAAAGCGTCGCCGTCGCTGCACCCCCCTCGCCGCCGCTGTCAAGCCCCGCAGCGAACAGTTGCTGGGTCGGTGCCTTGAGCAACTATTACTGCCTGCTCGCGGGCCTCGAGCTTGCTCTTTTGTGTGCTCGACTTTGTAGCCGAGCGGCACCCTGACAACGCCAACATGTGAACTTTTCGTGGAAAGCAGGCCGATGGGGATAAGCCGTCAACATCAGGTGCCAAGCGCATGCAGCAGCAGCAGCAGCAGCAACAGCAGCAGCAACGGCGGCAGCCCAAAAAGCGGCAGGGCGGCGGCGACGGCAGCAGCGAAGAGGACGAGGGGGACGACAGCAGCAGCAGCGGCGGCGAGAGCAGAGAGGCCGAGAAGGCCGGCGGGGGTGGCGCTGCAAAGCGCGGCGCCGGCGCAACAGGGATGAACAACTCGCTGCTTGCCATGTACGGCGCCGCCCCGGTCGGCGCCACCACCAGCGGCGGAGGCGCGGGCACCAGCAGTGGCGACGGCAGCGGCAGCGGGCCGACCAGCAGCGGTGGCGGCGGCAGCGACACAGATGATGACGCGGTGGATGGCAAGCCCGCGTTCGCGCCGCCAGACGTGGTGGCCGCCGCAGCGCAGCGCGCACTCGCGATCGAGCGCGCGGCGCGCGACGCCGCGCGGCGGCCGCCCCCGCAGCAACACCAGCAGCAGCCGGGCGACGGCGAGGGGCCCTCCACCTCGGGGCGCGAGCGGGGCGGCGCCGCCCAGGCGCAGCAGCAGCAGCAGCAGCAGCAGCAAGAGCAGGTGCCGGAGCAGCGGCCGGCCGCCGCCGCTGGAGAAGCGGCGGGGCTGGGGACCGGTGACGAGGCGGCGGCGGCAGCAGCGGGTGGCGGTGGCGGCGGGGGCGCCGCGAGGACTAAGAAGAGCCGCGGCGCTGAAGACGCCGGGCTGCGGGGGGACAGGTGCGCCCCGCCGCCGCTCCCGCCGCCGCCCCCGCCCAGGTGATCAGATCGCAAAAACGAGATCTTCACCATCAGCCTGCCGGCGCTTTCCCTGGGTGCATGGGGCCGCACCTGTAGACCGCCCGCCCGCGAGCTTGCGTTGCCCGCTGCAGCCGTCGCAGTCCTGGCAGCCTCGGGTGTTGTTCGGCGCGCCCGTCGGGCCGGCAGCGCCGGCCGCTCGCCCGTTTGGCTGCCGATCGTGGGCAGAGTCCGCGCCCAAGCTCCCCTCCTGATTGGGCTCCGACGCCGACCCCCCCCCCCCCCCCCCCCCCCCCC